TATGGGTCTTGTTTTCTTATCCATTCAGTTACTCTGTGTCTTTTGATTGGACAGTTTAATCTATTTACACTTAAAGTGATTATTGATAGATATGTGTTTATTGCCATTTTATCTATTAACTATTTTATTCTGTTTTTTTCCTTCTTTTCAAATCAAGCCCTTTAACATTTCTTGCAATACTGGTTTGGTGGTAACAAACTCCTTTAGCTTTTTCTTGTCTGGGAAGTTCTTTATTTCTCCTTCAATGTTAAATGATACCCTTGCTGGGTAAAGTAGCCTTGGTTGTAGGTTCTTGCTTTTCATCACTTTGGAGATTTCATGCCAGTTCTCTCTGGCCTGAAATGTTTCTGTTGAGAAATCAGATGACAGTCTTATGGAAGCTCACTAGTAGGTAACTATCTGCTTTCCTCTTGCATCTTTTGAGATTCTCTCTTTGTCATTAAGCTTTGCCATTTTAAATATGATGTGTCTTGGTATGGGATTCTTTGGGTCCCTTTTGTTTGGGGCTCTGCACTTTCTGGACTTTTATGTCATTTCCTTTCACCAGGCTTGGGAAGGTTTCTGTCATTATTTTTTCAAATGCGTTCTCAAACTATTGCTCTCTGTCTTCTTTTTCTGGTATTCCTATGATGTGGATGTTGTTACACTTCATGTTGTCCCAAAGATCCCTTAAACTATCTGCGTTTTTGGAAATTTTTTTTTCCTGCCCTGATTGAGTGTTTTTTTCAATGATTTTTTTTAAAGTTATATTTTATTATGTTGTTACAGTCATCCCAATTTTTCCCGCTTTGCCCATCTCCATCCAGCACCCCCTACTCCCTCAGTCAGTCACCACACTATTCTTCATGCGTATAAGCTCTTTGGCTACTCCATTTCCTATATTGTACTTTAGATCACCACGGCTATTCTGTAACTACTTATTTGTACTTCTTAATCCCCCAACCTTTTCACTGATTCCCCCACACTCCTCCGATATGGCAACCATCAAAATGCTTTCTGTATCCATGATTCTCTGTTCTTCTTGTTTGCTTAGTTCATTTTTTAGATTCAGTTGTTGATAGATATATATTTATTGACATTTTAGTCATAGTTTTGATCTTCTTTTCCTCAAATAAGTCTCTAACATTTCACATAGTAATGCTTTAGTGATGATTAACTCCTTTAGTTTTTTCTTGTCTTGGAAGCTCTTTATGTGCCCTTTGATTCTAAATGCTACCTTTACTGGGTAGAGCAATCATGGCTTAGGTCCCTGCTTTTCAAGACTTTGAATATTTCTTGCCAGTCCTTTGTAGCCTGCAAAGTTTCTTTTGAGAACTCAGCTGAAAATCTTATGAAAACTCACCTGTAGGTAACTAACTGCTTTTCTCTTGCTGCTTTTAAGATTCTCTCTTTACGTTGAACTTTTGGCATTTTAGTTATGATATGTCTTGGAGTGGACCTCTTTGCATCCATCTTGGTTGGGACCCTCTGCTCCCTGGACTTACATGTCTATTTCCTTCATTAATTTGGAAGTTTTCTTGCATTATTTTTTCAAATAGATTTCCAATTTCATGCTCTTTCTCTTCTCTTCCTGGCACCCCTATGATGCAAATGTTGGACTTCTTAAAGTTGTCCAGAGGCTGCATCTACTTTCCTCATTTTTTTGACTTTTTTTCTTCTTATTCTAATTGGTTGTTTTTTCCTTCCTTATGTTCCAAATCATTGATTTGATCCTTGGATTCATATACTCTACTGTTATTTCCTTGTAAATTGTTCTTTATTTTAATTAGTGTATCCTTTGTTTCTGACTAGATCTTTTTTATGCTGCTGATGTCCTCATTAAGTTCTTTGAGCCTCCATATAACCAGTGTTTTGAGCTCTGCATCTGATAAATTGCTTATCTCCATTTTGTTCAGTTCTTTTTCTGGAGTTTTGATCTGTTCTTTCATTGGGCCATGTTTCTTTGTCTTCTCATTTTGACAGCCTTCCTGTGTTTGTTTCTATGTATTAGATAGAGGTGCTCTGACCCTGTGTCTTGGTAATGTGGCCTAATGTAGTATGTGTCCTGTAGGGTCCAGTGGCACAGCTTCCTGTATCACCCAAGCTCAGTGTGCGAGGTGCATCCTTTGTGTGGGCTGAGTACACCAGTCCTCTTTCAATTGAGCCTTGGTTGCTATAGGCAGGGCAATGGGAGGTATTTACCTAGGCCAGTCAGCTGCAGGGACTGGCTGTGACCACTGACCACCAAGCTCAGCTCTCCACAGAGGATCAACTGTTGGGGTGTCCTAGTGTGTCCTTGCTTCTGCAATACCCCTCCTAAATTTTTATCCACCACCCATGGATATGAGACCAGCCTGTTCCACATCTCCACCCTCCTACCTGTCTGGATGGATGTGGTTTCTTTAATTTCATAATTGTTGGACTCCCATTCAACTTGATATTTGATGGTTTTGAGTAATGGTTGTTCTATAGTTTGGTTGTAATTTTGATGTGGTTGTGCAAGGAGGTGAGCCATGTTTGTCTATGCTGCCATCTTTACTGGAAGTTCTGATTGGGTGTTTTTTTCTACTTAGTCTTCCAAATCACTGATTTGATCCTCTGTTTTATCTAATCTACTGTTTATTTCTTCCTGTGTATTATTTATTTCAGGTATTGCATTCTTTATTTCTGACTGGTCCTTTTTATGGTTTCTGTGTCTTTTTTTCATGTTGTTGAGCATTCTTATAGGTATTATTTTGGACTCTTTATCTGGTAAATTGCTTGCTTCCATTTCATTTAGTTCTCCTGGAGAGTTCCTTTTATTCCTTTGGGGGCTGTTTCTTCATCTTCTCACTTTGACTGCCTCTTTGTGTTTGATTTTATGTATTAGGTAACTATGGAAAGACCCCGTTGCAGTCCTTAGTCAGACACTTTCTGTTACTGGCCCTGGGCAACCTGATTGGAGCTATCAGTGATCCACAGCTTGTGGTTCCCTCCACTGGTCCTGGGTGCATTTGGAAAGGACCAAGCTGCGGACCAAGGCTGGGTTTTACCAGCACCGGACCCTGTAGTGTCAGCTAAAGTCTCAAAGCACCCAGAGATCCGCCTTCACCTGTAGGCTGCCTTTTAGGCTTAGTCCCTGAAGGAACCTCCATCTGTGCTTTTTTAGCAGGGCTTAAGCTCCACATGGTGGGGTGAGAAGTTTTCCTGCAGGTGGGGCTGTTGCTTCCCCCCGGCTGTGCTGCCTGGAGGGGAGTGTTCTGCCTGAGAAAGGTGGCTTCTGCAGTATGGGGAATGATGAGTGTAGCTATCCTAGCAGCTGATCCTTCAGCTCTCTCCCCAGAGACACCAAGCCCAGACTCTCCTCATATGGCTCTAGTCCACTCTGCCCTCCCTCTGCTAGAGCCCAGGGTTAGTGGCTGCAAATGAAATCTTGTGTGTTGGTGTTTTAAGACGGTGTCTGTGTCTCTAGTTGTCTCTCCCTGGCAGACAGAAATCTTGCTGCTTTTCACACTGGGATATTACATTGGCTTTTTTTCTGGTTCTGATGCTGTAGGCTTGGGAACCTGGTTTGGAACTCCCCTGGCCTCTGAAATATCCCTCTAGAATTTCAGCTGCTGCCCATGTGAGCCCAGCCAACCATCTCATGCCTCTACACTTCCTACCTGTCTCAGTGTGGTGGCGTGGTTTCTTCTCTTAGTCCTTGATTATAAGGCTTCTCCAACTAGTCCTCAGTCAGTTACACAGGATGATTTTTGTATAATTTGGTTGTATTTCCAGTTGTTCCTGGAGGAGTTTAGTGTAGCTTCCATTTACTATGCCACCATCTTGGATCCTCCCTTCGTCCGTCTTTGTTGACAGTACTCCCCCTAGTTTGACCTGACTGGATTCTATCATAGATGCTAATCATGGCTTGTGATAGAAAGTTCGGATCAGTTCTAGCTTGCCACTCTAGTCCCTGAGTCCTTAATCTTCATTGCACCCTGTCATTATTTTTGACCTCAGTAGCTCCCCTGTCCACCGCGAAAGAGGCTTGACTGACAGTCACTATTAACTCCTCCCTCTCCCTTGTCCCCCACATCCAGTCACTGACTCCTGTGATTCTTGCCATGTGGATGTTGAGTCTGTCCACTTATGTATCCTGAGCGCAGTCTGCCCCATCTGCCACTCTCTCCTTGCTATTGCACTGCCTCTGTTTTGCTCTTCCTACCTCTGTGCTTGCGCCTGTCAACCACTGTTCACTCTACAGACAGTCCTCCTGCAGAAACTAAAATTACATAATGTTTATCTTTGGTTTAGAACCTCTCTGTGGCTGTACCTAGCCATCAGGATAAGTTCCAAACCCTTAGCATATCTTACCGACACCTCCAGCCTCCTGCTCACATACCAGCTCTGACCTGCCAGTGCTTGCCTCTGCAGCCTCCTTCCCTACGCCTCATCCCAATGGTCTCCTCATTTCAGCGTTGGAATTGCTTTTATTTACTCCAGCAGACCAAACTCCTTGATCTGGCCATGCCTTTGCAGTGCTGCTGCCTCTCTCTGTATCTCCATTCCTCCCCTGCGTATCCAGCCCTCAGCTGGCTAACTCCTCTCATCCTTCAGTGATTTGTCATCCTGTGTCGCTTTCAGCATGACTTCCTGGGGAAGGTCGTTATCTAGGTGGTGGCTGTCCTTGCCTTCCCAGTGTCTTCTCCACAAGGCGAGGCTCTTTGAGGGCCTGGAACGAGACCTGTCTTTCTTGCTGCCATATTCCCAGCATTGCCCACAGTGCCTGGCATGCAATTGGTGCCCCATAAATGATGGTTCCACCTCCTAGGTTTATGTGGGCCTCAATTAAAGAGTAAATTCTACATGGTCAAGCATCTTTCGCTTCATGTACTTTTTGTCAGCAGTTTATCAGCTTAGCACACAAAGTAGCTGTTGGATAATTTTTACCACTCAATTTAACTCTTTCCCCCAAGGAGCATCTTGGAAGATTGTTTTCTATTTTCAACAAAGTAATATTGTTTTTTTTCTAACCAATTATTTTGTTGTTCTCCTAGATTTCAACAGCTGTAAGAACTTATCTGGAATTGTGAACAAGAGTATCATTTTGTCTCCATTGAACACTCAACCCATTACAGAGATTATATGGAAGAAAGAAAGGAATAAAGTCATAGAATGGGAGTCAGGAAGTGATGTCAAATCTTACCCACCTTTTAAAGGTAGGGTTTCTTTAAACACTCAATCAGGTGACCTCCACATCTTGAATTTAACATCATTGGATGAAGGTGAATATGAAGTTGAAATGCAACACTCTACAAATATCATGAAATTTTATGTTACAGTCTTTGGTGAGTATTACATAACTTGGTTTGTTTAAAATGGCAAATTTCCATTTTTTTAAAGAGACTTATACAAATTAATAGCTTATGAGAAATAAAGCAATGTGTTATCCCATGGAGGCAGCGTTTTCCTCTCTTTCGGGTACACAGAGCCACTTTTCCCTCGTCATCCTCTGGGCGAGGGAGGACGTGACTGAGGTGAGGAGACCGGCACCATGTTCTTGAAAAGGATGCTGTGGCAGCAGCGACCTCAGAACTCTGAGCTCCCCTGATAGGTGACGGCGCTCTGTACATGAGAGTTTCTGTTTCTCCCTGCAGCCCCCTGAGAGTGGCTTTCCGATGTCCCTTTAAACCGGAACTGGGGATACACTACAGGTTCCCCCGTGCTTCTCATCGGTGCTTCCAGGTTGTTCTCCCTCCCTCGTCCCTGCAGTTCCTCCCTCGTTGCGGTCATCTGCAGGCGCGTGAACCCACCCCCGGGTTGGTTGGTGCAGCTCTACTGAGAACTAACGTGCACGCATCGCCGCGTGGGTGTCAGGCCCCGGCACGGGGGTCTGAGGCGCAGGTGCCGGGAAACGACCGCGACAGGTTCAGCTAACCCCTGTCTCCTCACAGAGCCGCAATAAGGAGAAAAGAAAGAAGAAAAGAAAAAAGAGAGAAAAGTTTATTCTTGAGTTGAGAACTCTTGATGGCTTTCCTGTGCGTCCTTCAGCAGCGTTAGGTGTCGCCCCCATGCTGGACATCGCGTTCCTAGCGCCTGTTGTCTTACACTGGACGTGTGTGCCTTTGGACCTCCCTCCAGTTCCTCCTCACCCTCCCCTCCGCCTCTGATCGTTTCTTTCTCGGAGTTTGGTGGTTCTTTCTTTTTTTAGATTCTATGCATCAGTGAAATCGTACAGGACAGCACTTGTCTTTCTCTTTCTGACTTATTTCCCTTAATGTAATTTGATCATGGCCCACCCTTGTGGACCATGTTGTCGCAAATGGTCGGATTTTCTGTTTTTATTTTTCTTTATTTTTTTTTTTTTACATTTTATTTTCCAGTTACAGTTTAAATTCAATATTATTTTGTATTAGTTTCAGGTGTGCAGCATAGAGGATAGACAGTCATACACTTTACCAATATTTCAAGCACCCAGGATTTCTTTATTTTTTATGGCTGAATAACATTCCATTGTATGTGTGTACCACAGCTTTTTTACCCATTCGTCTGCTGATGGACACTTAGTTTGTTTCCTTGTCTTGGCTGTTGGACATAATGCCTCAGTGAACATCACTCCAGTTTTTCTGGATCATTTTAGTGCCTGGTTCATTTTCACTGTTTCTGATGTTTCTGTTGTTGTAATTCTCAGTGATTGTAATGTTTAAATAGAAGTTATTTTTAATTTCCTGATTTCTTAGACCTTGCTGTCCTCTCCTGTAATGATCTGGTTTGAGAATATGGCTTTTAGCCTGCGGCCGTGAGGAGCCACTGTATTCAATACTGAAGCAGAGGTGTGAGTTCATGAAATATATTTTTGGAAATATGTTTTTGAAGATTAATCAGATGGTAGGTATTTATGATGGATTAAGAAGAGACCAGGTTAGAGGCTACTGTGATTATTCAAGTAGGCAGGGGTATCGCCAAGGCAAAGTTGAAAGATGTAAGATGACTTAAAGTTTAATACTTACATGGCAGAATGATTGGTTATACTCTTTCTTAGAAATGAGGAAGTCACACTTTTTTGAGGGTGTGTTAAAGTGACCTGACATCATTCTTCTGGAGTCAGGCCCTAATGGAAGACTTTCAGAAGGGGTATTTTAGAAGTGGGGATTTCCCAGCATCTTTTCTATGTATGTATACGTTGCTGTCCAGCTTTCCCTTTTCCCTCAAAGTCCCCTTAAAATTTCCACTAATAACGTTTATTAGTTCTTTCACGTCCCCTTACAACCTTTATTGCATTAGTAATGTTCATAGAAGTAGAGTTAACTGATCTATCCTTAAGTGGTCCAGACTGGTGTATAACTTTTTATTAAAGTTAATGGAAATATACAAATGCCATCGCATATATATATATTTATATATATAAATATATAAATAAAGGAAATTCTCGTTTCTTACAGAGCAGAGATCTGAATTAACTCATTATAATGTGACTAAGTTATCTTAGGGGATGAAGTGGGCACATTTTTTGCCTGTTTAATGCTGCTTAAGGTGCAGCTATCCCTTTGTTAGTTATAGCTGTGGTAAGTCCCATCGTAGTGAGAGAATATGAAAGGCTATAGGCAGGAAGATTGGAGGTGAAGTTCTGATCCAGATGTTGCAGGAAGGTTTGCATACTTTTCGGTGAGCAGGTAGGCTCGGCTCTTCCAGGCGTGGTATGTGACGATGGCGGTGTAAGGAAACTCGCGCAGGAAGAGCTTCTGTAGAGCTAAGTGGGCTCTAACAACAGAGAAGATACTACTACTAGCGCTTCCACGTGTCTCCCCTCACAGCACTTTCATAGCCCACTTGGCCTTTACAATGACCTTATAAAATATTATATTTCCTTCTACAGATGAAAATGAAACAGACTTAGCTCTGGCTTTGTCCATTTGGAGAACAGGAACCTGGGCTGGATGGCTTCTATAACGTCTCATGGCTCCTACAGGAGATGTCGTCCAAGGTCACACAGCAAGCCAGGGCTCACACTCACACCTCCCAACGCCTGGTCCCTGACTCTTCTCATTGTACCCCGTGCCCCCATGAGGAGCTTTGGCTTGCTGACCTTGAGCTCCATTATTATGATTATCAACTCATTTCATCCTCATCACAGTTGCGTAGGGTAGATATCATTTGTTTCCTTATGTGCAGGATAGGAAACCTAGGCACAGGGCTTAAGTAACTCCCCCAAGGTCAAGTGGCTCTTAGTAGCAGAGTGGGACGTGAACCCACGGCAGCCGGTCCATGTGCATGGCCACCACAGCATTGCTTTAGGGGAGCGAGCTATTGAATTGACATTGTATAGAGTGGAGGGAGTAATTTGAACACTATCTCTCTGACTTTATTTCTCTATCCATCCATCCCTCCAACTGTGCCACATCATCCTCCTTATTTAGGAGCCAGCTCTGTGACTTGCATTATGTCAAGTGCTGCGGTTAAGAGGTGAGCCTGATCTTGTCTTTGCCCTCCAAAGACGCACAGCCTGAAGGGCGCCGAGGCACCTCTGTTCAGTTTAGAAAGTGATGAAAGACTAGACATGGCCCAGCAGGTCAGCAAACCCAAATCTGTAACAGAGCCCACGCCCGGACCCCCAGGGATGGTGGGGCCCAGGGATCTGGGTTTTTAGCACACACCTCAGGTGATTCTTACGCCCGCTGATGTTTGAGAAATGCATCTACATAAGGAAGCTGGAAGCTCAGGAAGCGGGCTGCTCCTGAGCGCTGCCCGGCCTCGGGGCAGAGGCAGGCGGAAGCGAGTGTGGCACCTAAGGCAGCCATGCCCGTTTCTGAGCTGGAGGGGCTTCGGGAGCTGGGAGGGGGTGTGGTGCGCAGGCTGGACCTGAGGAGGCTGGGGGACAAGGGCTGCGGGCTCTCTCTGCTTCCAAGACAACTAGAGCAACTCCTTATCCTTTGGAAGGATAATGATCAGCTGCCTAAGGTTGAATTTCGAGAAAGGTTTCCAGTGCTTAAAAGAGATTAAAATTTCTTTGAAAGATTTTATGGCAGCATAACAAGTTATGGGAGCTAGATTAAACCTAAAGGCTGAGGAAGCCTCAAGCAGAAATGGAAGGCGTGTGTGATTTGGGTCTCTAGCAAGGTAGGCTGGGTGTCTGAGCGAGAAAGAACTTAGGAGGAGAAGACGAGAGGAAGGATGAGGTGAACACTTCGAGTTTTAGATTATTATTTGGAGCTTAAGTAAGTGTTCCTTTGCATTTGAAAATATGATTTGAAATGACAACGTATTAGTCCATCACCTTGATGAGCTCTACTGTAATTTGCTTTGTAGGAGGTATTTATAATGCATTGGAATTTTATTATCCAAATGCTCCCATGACTTTTGGTTTGCATATTTACATATTTTCTCAAATCTCATATGATTAGCTTTGGGGGGAAAAGGAGAGATGCAAGAAGGCATATGAATTAAATACACAACTAGTGGGACAAATTAGCAGTAAGATTTTAGACGGCAACGATGGTACAACGTGCCGTGTGTCTTCACCTGCTGTGTGCAGATCTGGGCTGCCCCAGCCGGCAGGAGGCGCTTCCTAGAGGAATCCTGGGAGCGAGGCCCCTGGGCCAGCAGGTGTCTGACCGAGAGGTGCCACGCCTCGCTTTCTCTGTCGGCAGGGCCAGCCCACAGGAGTTTTGGCAAAAACCCTTTGAGTCAGATAGCTTTTGGGATTAAACGTCTTTTCAATTTTAGAAAGGTGATAGAAACTATTTCCTCTCTGTAAAGAAGCACCCCACTTAGCTATGGGGAGCACCCTATCCTCAAGTATGTGCTGATTTTTAGTCAAATACGATAATCAATATTTGAAGTAAGTGAGAAAAATAAAAACGATAAATCCTCATGGCAATTCAGGCAAGGACTGGCAGCTCAATAACTTTGCCACCACTTTGTCTAAGATCTTCGGGCTTTCGGAATTGAGGACGAGGGATGTGGGGCCTGTGTGTGTTCTGAATTTGAACAGGTAGGTCAGACTCAGAGGAAGAGAGAATTCTCTCCTGTCGCCACCCAAGGAAGTGGCCTGCTCAGCTCTTCAAGTTCACAAGAAAGTGGGGAGCTCTTCCTAAATTTAAAGATGATGAATCTAAATAGTCCTCTTTTGTATTAAATATGACTTCTTTCCCCCAGATGCCCTCCCACATCCGATATTAGGGTGCATGCTGACTAACGGAAGTATTAAAGCCGAGTGCGAGGTTCCGAGCAACTACAACAGGCATCGAGATCTGTTAAACTACTCGTGGCATTGCGACTTCCCACAGTGTGAAAGGAGTGCAGAACCTGTGTTGTATTTTGACAAGATTGGTGACCTCTCACAGAATGTCCGTTGTTTTGTGGCAAATCCTGAGTCTAACAAGTCATCATCGGTCGTTTTGTCAACCTGTGTTCCAACGGGTGAGTAAATCGATAACTGTTCTGTGGGAGAGCCTCTGTGCCAGGGGGGTTCGTGAACCAGTGGTGGATTTGGGTTTCAGACCACAGGTGTAGTGGCTACATTGCACAAGTTTGAAATGTAAAATAAGTTATAATTTTCATAGACAGCCTGTTAGAGATAAAAAGCTAACATGGTTAGCACTTCCTGGGTCCTACCCACTCTAATACATGTGTTAATTTTCACACAACCCAGTGAGATGAATACTAGTAATTATTCCTATTTTATGGGAAGAAACCAAGACACAGGGAGTTTGAGTTGCCTGCCCAAAGTCAACAGCTAGTAAGCAGAGGAGCCTGGGTTTGGAATCAGGCCATCTGGCTCCAGGACCCCTGCTCTTGCCTACGTACAATACTGCTTCATGACATTCTTAAGGACAATTATGTTCGTACATGTGCTACAAGATTATGTATTTGATACACTTCTCTCAGCCAGTGATTTTCAACTGGTGTGCCACAAGAATTTTTAAAGCTTGCAATACCTGAATATTTAGTCAGGGGCACGGACCTTTTTCCGTTAGGTTGTCAAATAAAAACATGGTAACAGCCAACACAATAGCCATCCAGTGTGAATGAATACAAATTTTGCTTATTTTCTTGTTAGACTGGAAAAAAAATTTTTTTTGATGTGCCGTAGAATTTTAGTAATTGTAGTTTATGTATGCCATGGGGTAAAAAAGGTTGAAGATCACTGGTCTAGGCTAACACTCAGCTGATCTCATGACAAGCTGTCTCGCCTGTGGTCTTTTTATATTGTTTAAGTCTTACGTACATTTGTAATTGGCAATTTTTATGATGTATTTTTTATGCTGTATCTTCAGTTTACAAACAAAAGGATCAGTGATTTGAAAGTGGTCCATTAAAACATAAAAGGTGAGATGAATTATAGTATTAATTATAATTCAGAATGTCGTAATTGTATATAGCAAGCAGGATTCCCAGAGAACAGATAATATGAGTTTCTTTGGGGTGGGACAGGGTAATTCTGTGAATGATTTTTTTTCCTGACCAAGCAACTGAAATATAAAAGGACTATTAGTAAATATAATGAATATAAAAAACTTGAATTTTATTTGATGAATGAGCCAATGTATCACACCTTTTGAAACTTCAAATAGCAACATAAAGCCATTCAAGTTATGGTTTTATTTTCAGACAAAGCAGTGCGACTCCTCGGGTAAAAACAAATATTTGCAGAAAAAGTACAAAACGAGTACCAATTTGTAACTGATGGATTTGGTCCCTGAAGACAGAGAAATGACTAAACCCATAGAGGTGTCACTCAAAGTGGCACTATTTGCGCAAGTCACACAATTGCCAAGAAGATTTAAAAACCAGCTGCAAAGCTAATGACAGTTGTTATGCTTGGAATGGAAAGCATTTCAAAGCAAGCAAAGGAATGCTTAGAGGAAACGTTCCTTTATTAATTCCACCCCTTGGATATGGCATCCTACCCAAGTCATGGTGCATGGGAATACAGTTTATGTGCTAGCAGATAGCTGCTTTATAGTGGGCGTGACAAAAGGACAAAACTAGTGTGCAGTGCACAGGACCAACAAGGACAAAGAGGCCCGCCGTGTACAGAATGAGCAAGCAGGGGGAAATTTTGAAAAGCTCCCAGTGTTCCAGGAGGAAAAATACTTGGAAATAATTTCTGCATAAGATCCTCTAGAATTACATGGAATATTTTAAGAGACTTTCAAGCATCCTGGCCTTGCATGGGTTTCATTTAACATTTGCCCTTAGAATTGAGTGCTAATGCACAGAGTCCCAATTATAATGAACGCAAAGTGGCCCACTCCAAAACATATCATTATTAAAAGGCTAAAGGTTAAGGATAAAGAGAGACTGAAAAGCGAGAGGAAAGAAGTTAGTTACCGGAAGGTTGCCACATTGGCGGTGAGGAGCGGGGAGAATGAGTGAAGAGGTGAGGGCGTTAAGAAGTACACATAGTAGTTACAGAATAGCCATGGGGATGTAAAGTTCAGTATAGGAAACGGAGTAGCCAAGGAACTTACATGCACGACCCATGTACATGAGCAACGGTGAGGGGGTGGCCTGAGGGGGTGGGGGGTGTAGCATGGAGGGCGGCAAATGGAGAAAAATCAGGACAACTGTTAATAACATAATCAATAAAATACAATTAAAAAAAAGAATTGAATGCTTATGTAAAACGCTCTTCCTTGTAGATACCTTGAAGAAAAGAACGTCACCATAATATTCCTCTCACTGATACAAAATGAGAAGTTATGAATTTGAGAACAAACCCTTTTTTGTTATTAAATAATTGTGATTCATCTTTTTAAATTTCCCCCCAAATTGATTGTTCACGTTACATTGTAGATTTTGAAAGTTCGAGAGACATTGCTAGATAGTTCTTAGGTCCTTTAAATCCTGGAGAATATGTTGACATACAAGATATATATATATATATCTATCTATATCTATCTATAGATATATCTATCTATAGATATATATATATATCTATATATATCCAGGGTCCTCTGGTATTCAGTAACCAAATGTTTTCTCTTTTGCAAATCTGGACCTGAACTTAATGATCTAAGTGGTTCTTTTCAGCAATTAAATTCCAAGGTCTCTTTTTTCCCTCCATGATGATTTTGAATACTTTTCTGTGGAATTGTATGCATCATAACACATACGAATCCATAAAGGTGTAACATGTAAATACTGGGTTTTACTTGTTCAAGTGTTCAATTTTTTAAAGATTTTCTTTTAATTTATTTTTAGAGAGGGGGGAGGGAGGGAGAAAGAGGGAGAGAAACATTGATGTGTGAGAAAAACATCCATCAGTTGCCTCTCACAGGTCCCGGACATGTGCCCTGACCAGGAATCAAACTGGCAACCTTTCAGTTTGCAGGAAGACACCCAACCCACTGAGCCACACCCGTCAGGGCTCCAGTGTTAATTGTTGATGCAGACTTGCTAATGCTTTATCAGTGAAACAGAGTAACTCACATTGACTAGCTGGCGACTCTTTTGCAAACTCTTGCAAATACTGTCTCATTTGCTCATTACCACCACCATTCCAGACTACACCGGCTGGACAGCAGTTGTTATTTAATTTTTAAGGTGGGGAGACAGGTTCAACAGGTGGGGTGACCTCACCAAACTCACTTAAGTAATGGAGATAGAATTAAAATGTAGGTCTTCGAATTCTGGAGGTTTTTTTCCCCATGATACCATCCTGATTCTTTATGCCTCAAAATAAATCAAATGAAGAAGAATTTGGACTGATTTACAGGAATCAGCTAGCATAAACCATACCATGTTGAACAATAGTACAAATTGTAGGGATTTGTGCAGAACCAGGGATAAGTTTCGTCATCAATAAATTATAAGGGGAGGACAAGAGAGGTGATAGGGAAAGTTAAAGATTAAAGAGATTTACGAACCGCTCATTCATTGCAATATATAGACCTTATTTGATCTTGATTCAAATGGAAGAAAATAGGAGAAATTTAAACACTGACTAAATATTTGAGTATATTAAACAATTAATTTTTTTTAGATATGATAGATATAATAATGGCATGGTTATGTGTTACAAACACTCCCTATCTTTTGGAAATATAGACTGAAATATTTATGACTTAAATATCGTGCTCTCTAGGGTTGAGCAGACAAGGGCTCCCCTCTCTACTTGCTTCATAGCAAGCGGGAGGGGAGGACAAAAGGGACAGTGCACATTCCATTTAAAGATCAACCCCATGTGGTATGTGGCACTTCCAGTCACGGCTCCTTGGCCTCGCTGAGTTCCTGGCCACACCCAGCTGAGGGAGTCTGGGGACCTGGGGAATGCCATTGTTAGCTGTCTGGTCATGTGCCCAGGGAAAACACAGGGATTCTCTTGCCAAAGGAAAAGGAGAGATTGGGTAGTGGGATATGGCAGGTGCTTCTACCATAGTGCACTACCGAACGAATATGACTTGTACCATTTTAAAATATATGCAAAATCCAAATACCGTTAAAGAATGGTATAAATAGTAAATATAGAGGTTCTACTCTTTTTTTTTTTTTTTTTTTTTTTTGCACCTGATGAGCCATCTTAGATACTCCCTTGAGTGTATGCACGTAATTTGGAAACTCTTGATCTTGGACAAGGATGGCAGTGGTGGAGGTTGGGGGAAGTGGTTCAGGTGGGATCCATTCTGAAAAGAGAGCTGAGAGAACTTCCTGATTTGGGGCGGGGGTTGTGGGGAGAAGGGTGCCTTATAAGCAGTAATTAAATGACTACTAGGTGTCTGGCCTGAGCAACCAGATGAATCGTGTCACCATTTGTTGGTACTAGAAAACGGGAGCGGTGGGTGTGTGGAGGAAATGAAAACTTCCACCAGGGACATGATGTTTGAGATGCCTGTTAGATTTCAAATGGAGACATCACGTAAGGCCTTTCGATATGAGTCTAGGTCTCTAGTGACTAGAGAAAGCTGGAGATATGAATTTGGGCATAGAGTAGACTGGGCATTTAAAGCTCTGGACTGGAAGAGATCGTTTAGAGTTGATGTCAGAGAGCGGAGTTCTGGGACTGGGGGTGTCTGGCAGTTAAGGCTGTTAAGAGGAAGAGGACCCAGCAAAGGAGACGGGAAAGGACTGTAAGAGAGGTGGGAAGGACGCTCCAAGACTGCGGTGTCTCAGAGGCCGAGTGAAGAGGGAGTGATTAACTGCCGATGCGACAGACAGGGCAAAGAGGGAGAACAGAGCGCTAAGAACTTCCGTTGTGGTTGTTGCTGTCATCTCCCCTGAATCTCTGCTGCTCCAAAGTGATGACAGCGTCTGGCATCTTCCCAGGGAGAGAGGTTTTTGAAAGGAACCGTATCAATTAACATTAGGTTCAGCTGTTTAAAATAAAAATGTATCCATGGCTTGACAGGGTAGATTTCTTCTTTCATGTTCAAAATCCGGAGGTAGGCAGCTCTGGGCGTCCTGTTATTTTATGAAGT